AATCCCCCATTCCCACCTCTCCAGTGCCTGTTCCTGGAGCAGCACATCCAGCAGGCGGCCGAGCAGGGGGACTCAGCCCTGAGGGACGCCCGGGCCAAGCTGGGGGGGCTGCAGGAGGCCCTGCAGGGCTCCAAGGAGCGCCTGGCCCAGCTGGTCAAGGAGCACCAGGAGCTGATGGACCTCAAGCTGGCCCTGGACCTGGAGATCCTGGCCTACAGGAAGCTGGTGGAGGGCGAGGAGAGCAGGTGAACTGGGAGAACTGGGAGGACTGGGATGGGGAGGGGGGAAGGACCAGCCAGGTCAACGCCAGGACCGAATCCCCCCCCCCCCCCCCGAGTTCTGGGTTGGGGTTTGGGCCAAGGGAAGGACAAATCCCGGTCCCATTCCCGAGCTTTGCCCGGGCTGAGGCTTCCAGGGATCCTCCAGATGTTCCCCAGGGGATTTTTCCAGAATTTCTCCAGATGTTCCCCAGGGGTTTTCCCAGAATTTCTCCAGATGTTCCCCAGGACTCCCCGAGGGTTTTTTTTCTACAGAAGTTCTCCAGGTGTTTTTGGTCTCCAGATGTTCTCCAGAACTTCTTTGGGTGCCCCCTGGAAGTTCTCCGGGTGTCCTCTGGGTGTTGTCCAGCTCTTCCCAGATCCCCTCCGGATCTGGATCCCTGGAAGTTTTCCAGCTGTTCCCTGAGTCCCTCTGGAGGTTCCCAAAGGTTCCTGGAGGTTCTCCAGCTGTTCTCCAGCTGTTCCCAGGGCCCCTCTGGAGATTCCTGGAGCCCCTCTGGAGATTCCTGGAGGTTCCTGGAGGTTCTCCAGCTGTTTTCCAGCTGTTCCCAGGGCCCCTCTGGAGGTTCCCAGAGGTTCCCCAGTTGTCCCCCAGCCCCTCCAGAGGTTCCTGGAGGTTCTCCAGCTGTTTTCCAGCTGTTTTCCAGCTGTTTTCCAGCTGTTCTCTGACCCATCTCCCCCCCCCAGGGACCATCCCATCCCCGCCGTCATCAGCGCCGTCCACTCCCGGCCCCGACCCTGTAAGTTCCCCCAAATCCCCCCCATCCCTCCCCCTTCCAGACCCTCTGGAATCGCATCCGGAGCGGGATCATTCCCAACATTCCC